GCGGGTGGGGGGGGGGGGGGGGCATCGACTCCGGTAGGCGCGTAGATGTCCCCCCACAAAGTGGGGGACTCGTTCACGTGTGTGAACGTTATGCATGGGGATTATCTAGCGACCCTAGCGACCCTAGCGACCCGGTGGCTGCTCAACCTGGTGGTTCCTGCCTGCCAAGTCGAATATTTTTTCGGCTCGTTTCACCAGGCATTCATTGTCAAACCAGGAAAAATCAGCCTTCCTCGTGACTGATATATTCCCATTAACAACTGAGAAGCCACGTGTCACGTCTACGCGCAGGCTGCCGTCTACGTCCTACGTCTTACGACTTACGTCTTACGTGGCTGTGCTACCGTGCCACGGCGCATGGTTAGCTTTGTTGCCAAGAAAGAGAATGCTCGTCCGGGTGTATCGGATGCTGTAAAGATGAAGATAAACGTTTCTGCTAGTGAGTGCAGTTTCCCGACTCTGCTTCTGTGCATCGGGTACGTTACTGTATTATGCTTATAGGGTATGGACGTTAGACATTAGAGTCTAGAACTGTCGGAAGATGGAGAAGTCTATTTCGGAATGGCGATTATCCGACTATCCGACTATCCGAGCAGCCGAGCAGCCGACCGACCCGTTCGAGGAGAACCAGGGGGGGGGGGGTTATCGATAAACAACGACATAAAGATGACAGGTTAAATCTGACGCTCGATTGCCTTTGGAATTGCCGTACGGGAATTCGCAATTCGCGTTAAAACGTCCGTCGAAAGCACGGGAATCGCGTTATTATGTAAATGGACGTCGCTCTTCTCCATTTAGTTTTGCGATACCGAGGATTTTCCCCCGTACCCAACGTGTGTGTCGCTGCTGTTACTCTTTTCGATGCTCTGAACCTTCTACTTACTGTAAATTCCCCGGAACGGAAACTCCTTCACCTCATTCTCCCAGCCGTATCTTAAACCAAGAGAACCGGGATTCATGGCTTCAATTGCAACTTCAAGAGTCGCACTCAACCTTTGACTCCAAAGTAGCCTTATCCTGACCATCCTGACACACATGTGTCTCCGAATCGGCACTGACTGACTTCATCTACGGAAGCTACGGGCAACTGGATAACCAGATATCTCATTGCTCTGGATCAGTGTCCTTCGGTGCTACCGCCGAAGGTACCGTAGCGTGAACGTGCTTGGCGTGTGCTACTTCGACCGAACGACGGATTATCACGCGTCCGCAGACGTTTATACAGCTTCCGAATGCATTCGATTGATCTTCTCTTCTCTCTGACGAGGAGAACGAGGGTTCGCTCGATTAGCCGTCCACTAGGGGCTGCTGGTTAACCGGCACGTCGCTGAAATTCAGAGAGAAGCGGAGACTAGGCGAGGCTCAGGTGCTGGGTGCACGTTCCACTGGAACCCAGGGAAACCCTACGAGAGGTTTGTCACCATATCCATCCTAGGGACTTTCTGCCCCAGAGAGATTCCTTCCAATTATCTAACCACGCCTGACCCCGGCTGACCCGCCAGCCAATCAAGTGCCTCCGTAATTAGACTGTAGATCGTGGCCGATCTAACGAGCTACTTTCTACCTGGACGCACCTGAATAACCTGTCTACAAATTAACTCTGTCGTCGGGAATGTATTGGTGCGCGCACTCTGTGTGTCAAATTGCCAACCGAGCTCTATGTATTCTCATCCGCACTGTTCTCTGCATGTGAACACGTACGTTCTATGTGGCCGTCGTGGATGTCTGGCTGCCTGGACCGCACAGTCGGGTGTCGGAGAATTCGGCTCCGCCGACGAAGATTCCCGAGTGAGCCCGAATCTCCCGTAGCAGCGGGAGCAGTTTCCCCGCGAAACTTCGCCAACCTCAGTGCGATCGCGAAGCTCAGCGCGCGCGGTCATACCTAAGAGAGGGTGTAACGTTTCGTATCGGGGAGAAAGGCCAGATACCGTGAATAAAGCGGACTCTTCTTAAGAGGGAAAGGAAATGAAGCTGCTCAAGCGCTCCGTTGCTCCAGAGAAATGCCCAGAGCTCCCACGGATGTGCTCGCGTCACTGAGAATTCGTTTGGCTCCGACGGCGACACATTTCTTCTCTGTCTCTTCGCGAGATTCTGTGCTTCTCTATCTCAATGAAAGCTCCAAGCTCACCTGCGAAGCTTTCCCACGACGTTCCATAGGATGATAACTGGATCTGCGTGCGCTGTAAAGTTAAGCCTAACATTCAACCCGGAACATATCCCGAGAGACTCGTGTCACGTGTCAATACTTCTTCTTAACCTTCCATCGTCTTCTAACCTAATCTTCTACTCTTTAAACACTCTCTAATACGTCTATGAAGATTCGTCGCAGCATTTACTTGGATAGGGACGACTCGACGAATGCAAAAGTAAGCTTGGCCCTAATAGTTGGCTAATAATAATTGAGAATATTTGACAGTTCCAAGTGCATCCCTCGTGAGGTCATCCGTTCCGTCTGCATCACGACATCGCAGAAACCACAAAGTTCACTTCTCTCTCTCTCTCTCCCTCTATCTATCTATCTATCTGTCTATCTCTGGGCCACTCATGGATCGACCTTTAAAAGGGATTTCCGGACAGCGGAAGGACCGAAAGAAGTAACGAACCCGTAATTTCCTTTCTCCGACTCTCGTACTCCAAATAAGCTCCCTGAGAAGAATAACGAGTCCACCAAGCACAGCACTCGGCCTAAGAGTGCCAGCGGAGTAGCTACTAAAAAGTGCTGGTAGCGCACTTAAGGCAAATTAAGTATCTGCCGAACAGGGCATTGCCCTTCTGAAAAGAAAGGGGAATCGCGAGAAAGAGAAAGGCCAGGAGAATAGCTGGTGGGAGGCGCAGCGAGTGGAGAGACTGAACGAAGAAGAGAAAGAGGAGGCGGAGAGTGACACACGGGCGCAGCTTGCGCGAGTGCTGCTAGTAAGTGCTGCTAGTAACTGACGGATTTCTTAGGAAGTAGGAAAGAGCCGCGATTTTTTGGAGCGTGTTCTACCAGCCCTTTTTGGGACAAGCATTAGGGGTTCCTGAGCTACAGGGTGACGATCTCGTCACGTGCGGACGACAGTTCCTTCCTCACACGTAACTCGTCGCAAACATAACGTAACCCCTTCCTCACTTTCTATTTAGATTCCTTCCACTTTCTCCTCCCTCAGCTTTTCCATTTCAACTTGTCATCTTACATCTGTGTATTTCTCTACACTTTCCTTTGCTCTCCTGACATCTTCACTCTTTTTACGTCACATACTTCGCGAAGCTACGGTCACTTCGCGATAAGGAATATCGAAACTATTTTCTATCTTTCTTTACTTCACGGGCGTTGCCCGAGAGAAGAACGTGACAAGTTTCGCGGTTAATGTAATAAAGTGATTAGTCTTCCGACAGTTGGCAAACGTGGAGTCGTAATTTTTTATTAATAGATTTGAAATTGTAAGACAGATAGGTTCGCCGTTTATGAAATTCCAAGAAGCTTTAATAATCCGAATGGACGTTTCGTAATATATATCAAAGCAATTCTCATTAGGATAAACGTATGATTGATACACGTAATTCTATTTAATGAATTAATAAAAAGATAATATAAAAAAATCTTCATTCCGCATAAAAGTTATATTACATTATCCGCTTGGAAAGCTTGGAAACTCCGATCTCATCGAATAGTATAACCGCATTTAGTAAATGTAACGTTCAGTTCAGCGAAGTGTTTGGTGATTTGCTTGGTCCAGAAGAGGAAATCGTCCTTGAACCAGGGAATACTGGTCCATCCGTCCGTCCTCGGGAGTGCGCGAATGTGCGTCAGTGCCTGGTAACTCGGATTCCTCGATTCTTTGGATTTCGAAAAGCTACGACCTACCAAGAATAATGAAAGAGTGAACAGAAGACCAGGACGACTTTAATCAGAATGTTGTGGGCGTTCGTGATAACTCTTGTTGAATTATCGACAGTCGTCGTAGCAACGTCTCCTCGGCCAAGGAAGACGACGACCTCGACTCTGGACGACGAACCTTTTGGCAACGAGCTCGACAAACCAAGTAAGTAAATTTCATTGGTCTACATTAGGGCTGCGCCTCCCCGAGTTTACCCAGCGACCTTCAATTGCCCAGTTGCGTTTACCGGGTCTCCTAGATCCCACCTGACGTTCATCATTCTGCGAGGCTCAACGCGGAGTCTGGAACGACGGTCTTTGCTGAATGGGAATTTTCGTAAAAAGACGGATAGTGGCCACCCCCACTTTTTATAGGCGACTTATCGCGAGTGAACCCTCAGATTTGGCAGGATCGAGGAAATCCTTGCGTCCTGCGAGAAAAGGGTTAATGGCGTCATGGCATATATGTATCTAACCGCGGCGCTATTCAAAGGATTATAGTTGGACCTGTATAGTAAGGTAAAGCCGCTTTCAAAAGAATAATAAGAGAGGTGGTAATGGTAGTTCTCTCCTGTTCCCGATGCAAAAGCGCATCTTTTATTTATCTAGCGAAGGAAAAGATTTCGCTCCGGAGTTAAAGAGCGCAAAGTTTCGCGTGGACGTCAAAGCCATTTTTACTCTCCAGCTCAACTACTGTGGCTCCATGTATCTCGCTTGGAGCCTGGAATGGTGGAATGGTGCACGTGCGGTGGAGTCTATAGCAGCACGCAAAGAGTCGAGAAATGAGCCACCTCGCGCGCGCCTCCCTCCGGAGCCTAGGAGGCATGGGAGGCATGGGAGGCATGGGAGGCATGGGGGGCATGGGGGGCATGGGAGGCATGGGAGAAGCGCACAGGGTGGATTAGGGTGCAAGGCGGTTCGGGCCAGCCAAGTGGTTTCGTTAGCTGCTATAATTAATATAATTAATAGGCAGCAAGTAATTACGAAACGGCATTAGTTGCAGACGCGTTGCGTCGGATGAGACGTTGCCATTTCTGCGGAACGACGTACATTGCAGAATTGGTGAATACAAGTAAAAGAGGTGCGCGACTGACTGGGAGGGAAAAGGCAAATGGCGGGATGGAAGGTAACGATAATAAGTGAGTACACGTGTACAGTGCCGGAGCGTTAGCGAAGCTGGTTGAGGCTCAAGTGGGTGACGATCGTCTCGTTGGAACAGCTGCTTAATTAATACCGCGGCATCCCGATGACGGATTAACGAGGGAAATACCTTGTCTCGTTTATTGCTCCCACTCCTACACGTTATAACGTCGTGGGACACCGCAATGAAACCAGACTATTTAGATATGTATGAATAGTCCGACGCCGACCAGGAACGTATAATTAATGTGCGACAGAGACAAATGGTTAATTAATTATGATATGGAAATTGGTCGCGCCCCGGATCCTTGGGTCGACTGTTCTCTTTCTCTCTCTCTCCCCAATTTTATTTTTAGCTTCGACTTTTTTTATTGCCTCGTCTTACGATTTGCATTGCACGTTGCGCTCCCCGCGCTGGCGAGGATCGCTTGATGCGCCTCTGAATTATATCCTCCTTAGCCATTCCATAATTCTTCTCAGCCGCCTTCCACGCCTCCTTCCCCCTACAGCTTTCCAGCTTCCGGAGAGAAACAAGTAGCGCGTCAATATTCCTATGCAGAAATCGTTGCTGATCCCAGAGGAGTGTACCTATTCGTATCGGGAAGAGGAAAACAAAAAGTGGGAGATTTCGTGATATCCCAATAAGGATATCGGCAAATAAAAAGCTGCAATCGCGATTAGAGCATGAAATAGGATTGCGTGCGAGTGACTGAGGAAAGTGGGATATTTCCCACTAGCAGTTTGAATGAGCTCAGCCACGAAGAGGTACCTGTATCTGATATAGCAGATTTCCTGAGGGTGAAGGTAGAGCTACAAAGTTCCCTTCTATGCGCGAGGAATAGAATAGGGGCGAGTGTGTGCGTGAGAGAGAGAGAGAGAGAGAGAGACATCGATATAGGGATCAGAAGGTTAGAGATCAAGTTGAAGGATAACAGAAAGGATAGAATGTCCTTCTACGTCTAGCATGCGACTGTAGTGGCGGTAGGGTTCTGTCTGTCGGGTGACTTCGGATGACTGGCTGGCTTACTCACTGGTAGACTCGGATTTGGCATCCCTTTGGTACGTAAAAGAGGATTCGGTCTCGAAATAGCTTTACCTTGAGGGCTAACTATCGGGTTAACGATAACCTCGTTGTCGAGTAGCAGTGAGCATTCTCCGGGGGAAGTCCTGCCAAGTCCTCCAGGACCCACTGATGCTGCGCCTTCCATATCCGGTTAACACTAACGCGATTACTAAATCGTACTGCCGTACGAGCGGGAGATTCTTCAAGAAAACAAAAGGAGTGAAAAACGTCGACCAACCTGAATCTATTGAGTCGTAACGTTCTCCTCATAGCCTTTATAATTTAGCTTCCTTTATAATTCCGAAACTTTTCCCAATTTTTTCTATGTTCATCCCCTTCAACGCCGACCTCCACTATACAGCACATACATGCCCGCAGCTACCCTCTGTGTACATTTGGGCGTAGGTCCCTACGAATGAAAATCGGGCAATTTAATGAAGCCGCGTACACAAGCGAGGATGGTCGCGCGACCGCTTGGCAATTTGTTTCCCCTGTTATTTAGCGGCACGTGTCGGGCTTAAAGGTATGCCGCTACGAGAGGGTAACTGGCAAGTGAACAAAAAAAAAACGGTCCAGGCAAATTTCACTGGAATGGCTTTGTTTACTCGCCGTTAAGTTTGGCAGGCTTTCGCGTGATGCTGTCTCTCCTTCGTTTGTTGGACGGGCGGCGGGGGGTGGCGGGGGTCGAAGGGAGAGGATCCACAGAAGAAGGAAGGAAGGAAAGAGAGACAGAGAGAGAGAGAGAGGGGGGGGTAGAACGAACAAATCAAGGTCTGACGTGTGTCCCACTACTGCCGATAAATATACAGCCCTTGAAGGGTCTAAAAGGGGTAGAGACGGGGCCAGGGCAGCACGGCCGAATGGCACTGGGGCAATAAGGCGCTAAGTTAGACGAGCAAACGGGGATGAAATACCGTGTAAATTAGACCCGGAGGCCAGACAACCCTTACGGTCTCTTCTAGTTCCCCCCGCCGCCGCCGCCGCACTCTCCTCTTCCTTGCCCTATCGTTGTTAGGGATGTTTTAGATAAAAATTTGCCACGTTTATCACGTTCTCCCAATTAAGGAACTGACAATAACGGACCAACCCTCTTCTACGGCACTCGGAACGGTCTCTCGTCCACCTCGCACGAATTAATAGTTAAACTATTTACTTTTATCACGTCGTTACTGCCTACCCAGAGGAATCGTAGTCCCGGCGACCCCTGGACCTCTCTCGAGCGAGTCACCCTTACGTCGTAGTAATTTCTCTGATGGAAACCTTCTCCTCTCCGGCCTCACTCCGATTGATTTTCACAAGCCCCTAAGTATACTTTTATATACACCCGTATGCGTGGATGCGCGTGTACGGCCCTGGCAGCCCGAGAATCGCCGCACGTGAATTCTACGGGACGTTATTCTCCCAGGAGGATGGGTCGTCACACTAGCGGTGCTTGGGGGGCGGCTGCGAACCGGGTGTTTTGTTTCCACGTGAAACGTGAGATCGTGACAATTATTATGGAAGCGAGTAGACCCGACGTAAAATGGTGGGAACCTGCGGAGAAAATAGTTCGTGCTTCAGTTTTGTTCTCGCTTGTTCGCTGTGCTACGTCCGGACGTGATTTGTTCTCTTCCAGTTTCCAGCTGACTTTTGGCTCCTTACTCGCGAGATTTACACTTACGCGGCGCCTGGTTCGCATGGCTGCCGTTGCCAGTGTCTATGGAGCTGCGGATGGCAACCGGACTAGCCCTGAACTTCTGCAGTTGGTACTGGTTGCCCAGAGACGTAGCCGAGGGTGCAGCCAACAGTCGAGGTTGTTCGAAACAACGATCAGACCCCTTAACGAGTGTTTAAACTAAGCTTGTTAAACTGCATATCCTGGAGGGTGCCGGAGCGAAACGACCTTCGGGCCGGATACTGAGCAATACAGCCACCCTTTTATTGTCCTACCGAACTCCCGCCATTCCTATTGCTCAGTTCACTTGCACATCACTCTTCATTTTCTTACAATGTCTACGAGCCTCTTTGGCATAGCGTTTGCATTGCGAAGGTTTCAAGCGAATAGAAAAATGATTGCATCCTGACCTACGTAAGAAGATACATACATATGTATCTTCAGTATGTAGCTCGAGCAGAATAAAAGATGGTTGCGCGTAGCTACACTCTTGCCTGCAGCCTTTACTGGGACCATCGATGTCAGAGAGGAGATACAAGGGGAAGAGTAAAGAGTGCGTGCGGCAACTACATTGGAAACGACAAGAATACGAGGAAAGTTCATTTCTATCGTATCGCGAATGGCGCACGTCAGGGAAATCACCCGAAGGGAGTGCAGAAACAGGTTTTTTTTATCTATCGGGTAATTCAGTAAATTCACGCGGAACCAGTAAAAATATTTACAAGGCTCGTTCAATGATATCGAGAAGAAGCCAGAACAGAGGGCGCGGAGTAGCATTTGTGAATACGTTTCAAAAACTGGGATTCAGGAAAACCAACGAGAAAAAGAGGAAGAGAGATACACGCGGAACGAAGGAAAATAATAAAAATCCAGGCTTAAAGAGGAAAAACATTGGTGCGCGCATATTTCAATTGTCGCGCGAACGGTTCGCGCCGCGAGTGTGTCTCTCGACAATTTTACCTGACGAAGGGTGG